ATTTTATATATATATATATATATATATATATATATATATATATATATATATATATATATATATATATATATATATATATTATATATATGTTGATAATTGACAAGGAAAGAAGAAAACACGGTTCCTGTTGCCTTTTTCTTTTCTTTCTTTCCTTGTGGTTACTGCATATACCTAGATCATGCTATAATTTACAGTGTGATTTATATATATATATATATATATATATATATATATATATATATATATATATATATATATATATATATATATATATATATATATATATATATATATATATATATATATATATATATATTCCTTCTCTTGTGAATGCAGGTTGCTCTCTCTCTTATACCAGGCGTTGTGTTCCTAGAAAAGGCCACTACAGTAGTAAGCAAAGTCCATGAAAACAAAGATAAATATCCATAGTGATTAGGAAATTACATTCCCAGCCACATTTAAAGTTCTTCTTTTAATGATAATTCTGTACTGTATTAACCTTTTAATGGCAGTCATCATCAGTGGAAGTTAGCTGTAGGGATGGCAGCCATCATCAGTGGCCAGTTCATGTTCTTTGCATTCTATATTTTATCAATTGAATATTAAAACATAGTACAGTTGGGTCTTCATTTACGCGGTCAATTGAACCCGCGGAGTACCGCGTAAAACGAGAAACACGTAAATGAAATAACAGAACATATGGGATTAATTGAAATAAGAGAATGGGCCGACCCCCAAACTCCACTTTTTCCGACACAATGTGTACCTTGTAGTCAAAATAACCTCTTAATTTTATGGTGGTATGCATACACAATTAATAATTAAGAGAAATATCAATAATCTTAGGTTTTTTAACACTTACTTTAGTAGAAAAGATGGCTGGGCACACGGGGATGGGGGGTTGGTTACGAGGCAGAGTGCAGATTATTGGCCCTCACCTGTATCACTTGTATCAATTGTATCACTATCCACCACAGAGGCTTGCAGGGCCTCTTTGTCAAACCCCTCAAAGTCCATATAAGTCCATATCCTCCCTATCACTTACTTGGGCCGGCTGTGGCGGGTGGCGGGTGAAGAACTCGGTAATGTTTTGATAACTGGGTGACCTTGTGCGCACCCTGCCCGCGTCGTTTCCCACGTAAATGACCAAATTTGCCGCGTAAATCAAGCATTTCAATTCTGGCAAGGCACCGGGTAAATGACAAAACGCGTAAACCAAAACCGCGTAAATCCAGACTCAACTGTACTGTATATTCAACTCACAATACAGTCTGTTGTTTTCTCCTTGAGGAGAGGCCGAAGTTAGGTGAGTAATGTAGAGAACCACACGGCCGGTTGGTAATTTTAAGCCACTGGGATAATATCCATCTCAAAGAATGCATTTCAAATTGTGTGTTAACCCCTTGATCCTAATACAGTACTGTACTTACACAGGGGAAAGATGAAAAATATGAGACACAACCATGTACATGCTAACCTTGGCTCTGCATAAACAAAATTTGGATAATAAAAAGTTGACTGTGTATGTGAGAATCCAGTTCTCATGAAGCCAGTATAAATGAGGGCAGCCAATATTTGTTCTGTTCACCACCTTTACTAATGCCCCTCTTGAGTTCCCTTGTCTCTATTTATATAATTTTTTTCTCTTATTTATCATTCATGTTTTTCTGAATTTTCTTTGTCCTTTTCAACTTTTTTTCTATTCCTCACTTTTTTCTGATCCATTCTAGTGTTCTCTTTCTGTGTGTCATCCTGAGGACTTTTGATTTTATAATTGCTTCAGGCAAAGTCTGAAAACGTTTGTATTGATAGGAATCAAGCTACTTTATTGTTAATTACCAACAATCAGAGTGAGAAAAAACAACCAAATATACTCAAGTTGTGTATGCATTTCTATGCAGCTGGCAACAGCATTCCCCTCCAAGGCCAGGTGCAGTACATGCATTCTGCCCAGGGAATCATCTAACTTAATTCTAAATTTGAATCCAATATTATACAGCACAACTTTCCTTGAACCTGAATAAGAATTGCCTATCCTAAAGTGGAGAAACTGAGAGATGATATGCTGGAGTACTGTATTATAATGCTGTGCAGCATTTTCTATTATAATGTGAGATTGAACTGAACAAAAACTGGTTTTTAGAAAAAAAGGCTTTTTTTTATGTTGAGACAGCCTCAAGGAAAACTGAAAGGATCAGTGTTTCGTAGTGTTGGTCTGAGCAAAAGGTCATACTGCATCTGAAAAATGTACTGTATTGATAAATTTTACAAAACAAATTTGGAGATTAAGGCTATTGGTACAGTGCCAGAATTATAGACATGAAGGGTTTAGTGATGGATCATTTGTGAATTTTGTGAATTAAGGAAATTAAATATCAGGGAAATAGAAATTAATTTCAAAGTTATAATTCACAAAAATTGGACTTCAGAAACTACAGAGGCACTTGTGTTTTATCTGAATATTCCAGAAGAGACACTAATTGATGGGTGAGGAATAGATATCCAAATAGATTATCTTCTACATGGAAGGAATTGTGTAGAAGAATTTATTCCCAGAGAGGAGAGTTGCCTAGGGGAGCATTTATGCTCATACACAAATGCCATCTTGATACATAAATTAGCACAACCTTTTGATTATTTTTACCTCCTTGAATCTCAAAACAATCATGAAACCATTAAAATTGTTTCTACACAATTGATATCTGTTTCCTCCCTAATTTAGATTTTTTTTTTTATGGGGATTAGCCCACCCGGGCACAGGTCACCGACCCACGTTGGGGCCTGGGTTGCACAAATGTAATAATAATAATAATTCATAGTAAATAAAAATTTTAATAAAAAATTCAAAATTGAAAAAATATAATAATAATAGCACTGTAATAATAATGATAATAATAATAATAATAATAAAAATATTAATACAGAAATGAAAAAAGGTCAAAAGTGAGAAACAATGTATGTTGTGTTGTTAATAGTACTAGAAACAATTGAGACCCTGCAATTGTGTGTAAATGAGGCACAAAGTCAACCTGGGACTTGGTAATAATTTTTGTGATGCCATATGGAAGCAGGGTCTACCATTAGACAATGCTTCCAATATCTTCCCAGGCGGTAGTACTGATCTCCTTTATCCATTAATTGTCCCCAAAGCAGCAGATTGACCTTTTGCCATAGTTTTTGTCAGACTAAATATCATTGATAACAGGAAAAGCCTAACTCTTTTTAATCACAGTTTGGGTTTCTGAATCTTATATAACTTTGGGTCACTTTCTTTCACTTTTTTTTTTTTTAAGGAAGAGTTTAGTAACAAGATGGAACAGTTCCTAGTGCTTCCTTCTCTCCCAGTGCTGGATGTTGACAACTTTTTCTCTGAATAAACTTGAACCAAGCAATACATTTTGGTAAAGGAACTGCAAATTAGCCCCCTTCCAGAATAAGACGCTTAGTTTATACTTAAAGACGTTTCAATATCTGCCAGGTTTGAAACATCTAATAATTACTTAATAAGTAGTATCGGGTGGACACGTCGCTACCTGGCATTTAATTGCAATTGTATGCAACGTCACCTCCCTCTCCACCTCCTGCTCAGGTATTCAAAGCTAGGCGTCGCATTCTGGATTGAACAAAAAGCCGTTTTTTTCTAAAAACCAGTTTTTGTGATATAGTCCAGAATGCGACGCCAATAACCCACCCATCTCCACCCCTTGAGAGTTGACTTTTGTTTACTGCTCGCTCTAAGGCAAGAGATGACGGTGGCAGTGCGTGTGATGGAGGGTGTGGGAGGGGGTTTTGAGAATTGCAATTAAATGCCAGGTAGCGACGTGTCCTAATATTACTTATTAAGTAATTATTAGATGTTTTAATTGCCTGTATGTTGGCCTCGCGAGTTATTGCTAGGCATTAACATACCTAGGTATAAGCTAGGCATCGCATTCTGGACTATATCACAAAAACTGTTTTTTTAGAAAAAACGTTTTTTTCCCGTCTCAAATCTTCACATAAGCTAATGACTTCATTAGTATTCATTTGCTACATACGATTGAATGTGAAGAGGTGTAGAAGTTAAAGGGATATGTGATTGGCTTTGATCAAGGATGAGTGAAGCTTAGATAATTCAGCTGACACACAAGGTCATATGTAGCCTCTACTAAATAAAAGGCACTATATCAGTGATGTTTATTAGTAATATCACTGTTGTCATGTGCATCTCTCATGGCTACTTTCTCACCTGAATGAAAGAAAATCACAAAATATCATGACAATGACTTGAGTGTCTTAAATTCTCATATATATGTCAGCATTTGGAAAAGTTTTGAAGCCAGAATTGGAGCTTAAGTGGCAGAGGGGTTAAACTTATCTTTAAATGAGACAGGGCAGCCAGTTTACGAAAACCATTCAAGCCTCAGACTTTTTGGTGATTTACAGTGGTTTAGATTTCATTGGTGTTTATTGGGTATTAATAAGACTGCAGTCAAGAGGATGACACCTTTTGTGATAGGTAAAAATACCTCAAATTATTATTTTTTTCTTTCCCACTCATATTTTTCTCCTATGCCTCATCTCTTATTTATCCCTCTTCACTTATCTCTGTTTTTTTTTCACTTCATTACATTATTTCTGCTATATTTATTTTTAAACTCTACTTTCATCTTGAACTATATAGTATCTCATTTTTGTTCAACCCAGAATGGGACATTCTGGGTCATATCACAAAAACTGGTTTTTAGAAAAAAATGGCTTTTTCTTTTTTGCATATAGTATTTACCTTCTTGCCCCATGCTCTTTCTCCTTAATGCCCTCCCTTCATCTGCTTCTTCCTTCCTCCATTTCTATGTAATTACCACAAACAGTCCTCCATTTCATGTTCCCCTTCTCTCCTGTACTTATTCCTTTTCTATTTGTGAAAAGTCACCTTTGCCTGGCCTTCTTTATTCTTACATTTTTTCTTCTCCGGGCTTTTCTTCTGGCTTCTAACCTCGCCTACGCTTGGCCATGGATAGGTAGTGGAGGTCGTGAACCGCCATCTGGGACAAAACCGCCGACAGTTGAAACTACAACACCTGGTGTTCCCGGTAAGGTCTCTTTTTCTCCTTATTCCCTGGCAATTTCTTTCTTTTAGGAATTAGTCATATTCATTTGATGTTCTTATTTTAAGTCATTATGTAGTACTGTTGTTTTATGGTAGTATATGCTTGTACCTATTTATTTTTGTTACACTCACTTCAGTGTATTTGTTACTTATTCTATAATACTGATACTCTCACTTAGATCATTATGTGTATGACAACTTTACTTCAGGTAGTCATTTTAGAATTTGCTTTGCTTGTGCTGAGATAGTTGTCTTGAAGCGGATTTAAAGCCTTGCAATGCATTTCTGTTTCACATTGCTGGTGTAAAACTTCTCTCATCAATTTCACTCACTTGTAAGTTCATTGTCTACATCATTTCATATCCAGAATGCCCACTTACACATTATCTGTTTCTAGTAGGCATGTGTAGATCTAATCAAATGAAAGTCCACCACTGCAAATGATAGTGTATGTTTACTATTATTATTATTCCCAAAACACTATGCATGTTTCTTAAGGTTTGCTGAGTCTGATACTCAGATAGATAATATAACCACCAACAGAACCCAGACTTCCTATTTGAAACAAAATGTGAGAATATGATATTGTACTTTATTAAAGAGAAAGTAAAGGAGGAAAGCTGTTCTGCATTTTCTCCATTCTCCATGAGTTGGATGTTTCCAGTTTGGTTTTATTTGTTTGAGTTGAATATTTCCAGTTTGTTTTGCTACTTTCTTGTTTAAATTGTGATTATTTTGTAGATTTTTTGTTTATTGCATGAACCAGAATATATATTATGTTCAATTATACTGCATATTGGTTTTCTAGGATATATATATATATATATATATATATATATATATATATATATATATATATATATATATATACTGTATATATATTCTTTCAAATGTGATTTATGATTTTTGTTCTTTAAAGCTAATTTTATATACATCATTTTACAGTATATGATTATAGCATGGTTGTGTTCCCAACTGATTCCTCTGGCTCCACATATGTTCCAACGATATTGAACCCTGCAGGTATTGCTTCTTATTTTATCATTAATTTATCATTAATTTGTTCCTTAAATTTGTTTCATTGCTTTATGTTGCTGTACAAATGCTTCATGATTTTGTTAAGTAATCAGAGCCACAAAGCTAGATGTAATAAGAAAGTAATTCAATATTTACAGTGTACATTTCTAAGTGCAAAAGTATAGGTTGCAATATATTGTACTGTACTAGTCACCAGAAATTTCAACCCCAAAAATATTACAGCAGTATTTAAACAAATCACATTTTTTATTCACTCACACATTTGCAATTCTGTCAGGTTCAGCATTCTGTACCTGTATTTCAGAAAGTATGCTTAGTCTGTGATCTTAACAGTATGGTCTTAGGTCTTATTACATTGCTGATATATAATCACGATTGAATCATTTGCCTTATATCTTGGTTTAATTAGATTGGCTTAAAAGTTAGCTATCGACTCATTGGTACTTGATAAATCCTATAGCACGTCTCCCTTGGGAGCATATAAGTGTTTTTTTTTTTATGGAAAAAATTTAACACACACATACATACATACATACATTTATTATGATAATAAAAGATATAACAACTTGGCTGTTCAAATTATCCATAACAAAACTTGTATTGGCTTGGCGAGTTATTGCTAAGCATTAACATACCTACTGTAGGTATAAAGCTAGACTTCGCATTCTGGATTGAACAAAAAAAAAGAAAAAATACTGCATTGCCATTTGACAATCATTTCACTAAGGACACTGGAGCGTGCTTCCCCTCCCCCTCCCACGATTGTGTGCTAATTCCTGCATACCTTATGGTAATCATTTCTTGTATTTAATTTTTTGCACATCGTGAACAACTGTGTATGCATATAACAGAGTAAAAAAGAAAAAAGGAAATTACATATACAGCTACTCCCTGACTTATGACCTACTTGACTTACGACCACCCGGACATACGACCGCCTCAGTCGTACCAAAATTTTGTCAAATTACGTATTTTTTAATCCCAACGTCAGCGATTGCGCTGTGTACTGACAAAATTTTCGTTTGTAATTCACTTTAAAATGGCTGGCAAGCTTAAAAGTGAGAGTTTTGTGGTGCTGAGAAGAAAAATACACCCATTTTAGATTTTCTATGTACAGTATTATTTAAGCATTTTCGACTTACGACCATTTCGACTTACGACCTGGATTTGGGTCCCTAACCCCGTCGTAAGTTGGGAAGCAGCTGTATCTACCCAAAATTACAAGTTGAAAAATAACAACACAGCTCACACCTCGGCCTGGTAGGGGGAGAGCTAAGGGGATGTAGTTTAGGGACAGTCTAACTTGGCAACTTGCCAAGTCTACACACCCATTCACTTCACTTACATACAGACCCATGCTCCTCATTTTTTATTATTATTATATAACAACATACCATCTCCACGGAGGTGTACTGTAAAATTTTTATGACTACAGTGTATTTTGTTTATATTAAGCTGTTTTCTATGTATTTGATTCATATTAAATTAAATGTCCAATACAGGTATTGTTTAGTGAAAGAACAGTCAACTTAGTTAGGCTTTGACGAGTGTTATCCACAGTCATGGAACCTATCCCATTTACCTTAAGCCTTTAGTTTTGCCAACCACGGATTTGCCAACCACTGGAACTACTATACAGTATATATACAGTGGTCCCTCGGTTAACGAACACAATCCGTTCCAGCAGGTTGTTCGTTAACCGAAAAATTTGTTAACCGAAACCATTGTTTCAATGGGTTTTTGGGTAATTGGTTCCAGCTCACCGAAAATTGCCTAAATTCAACAAAAATGGTAGAAAAGTTCACTTACTTTGAGGTGTGTATGTAGAAGGCTCCTGGATGATGATGATGATGATGATGGGAATTAGAATGAGGGTGGCGGAAGGAGAAAGAGAGCATTGAGGGGTGGAAAGAAGTCACCCCATGGCACCATTTCTCACCCTATAAAATTTGAATTTCTCTTGGTGTATTTCAGATTATTTCTTTAAATCAACACTGCACTCGTATATTGTCAATATGTAAAATATATTTTCAAAATGACCAATAATTTTGTAGAAACACAGAAAAAAAGCATTTAGTTGAGAGAAATTAAACCCAGATGTTACCTCCGAAATTGAAACAGAGGGCCATGCCTATTTGCTTGTGTTGAGAGGCTGGATGCGCGCATTAAACTAGTCACTTTACCTTCAATTGTAACCAATAATTGTTGTTAAAATGACTAAGGTGAATATTAAACTTTTAAAATTATTGAATAGTATAAACTTCTTGATATTTACTAAAATAGTAAGGAATTTAAGCCCTAGAACCGATTAATGTATTGGCGGACTAATACTAAAGCTGGTTGACCGGCCAGTGCAAGCGAAAACATGTTGAGGTCGGTTCGTAAGAAATTCATTAACCGAATTTTTGTTCGTTAACCGAATTTAAGAATCTTATGGGAGGCAGTTCGTTAACCGAAATTTCGTTAACCGAGGCGTTCGTTAACCGAGGGACCACTGTACTTAACAACACATACACACACAGAGGACTTATTTCATCAGAAATGGTCAGGACCTAAGAGTTTTCAGATAAAGGACATTGCATTATTTGTCTCCCCAATAATGGCTAATACAGCAGTATTATATGCTGAATTACCAGACACCTGAGCATCCAGAACATGATAAGAACAGATTAGGGATTCTCCAGTAATTATATTCCAAGAAGATTTACTCCAGAATAATAACAGGACAAAGAAAACAATTAGGGCATGGTCAGGGCACTAAGTAATATACTGTATCCTGTACATTAAAATATCTTCATATCTGGTGGGTATGTATCGAAAGTACTGATTTGTTACAGTAATATTTTTTTAATAAGAATGTACTGGAGGGGATATATACTGTATTAATGTTCATTTGGTAAATCAAATCACCTGAGTGATGTTACTGTACACTTAGGAGTGTAGGATGAACCAAACACTAAATTTATCTAGTGTACAGAAATGCGGTATACTATACAGTATTTATCTTACTGTACGATGGGTTTGTATTGATGCACAGATACTGTATACAGAAGAGGATAATACTTTGAAAGCAAAACATAACCCTAATGATGAGGCTTTAGTCTTTCACACACATTTCTGACAAACTATATAGATTTATACAGTACTGTATTAGAAAACAGTATCTTAATGTCATTTTAGGGTGTTTGGTATCGAATAGAAATATTAATTTCTAAAAAAATATTAGTAGAATATTTTTCTTAATCCAAATGTGCTGGAGACTACATAGGCTATTTAGTTTGTTACGTTTATATGTTTTCTAATATGTTTGCACTGAACAAAGATATTAAATTATTGTTTAGCTACTAGTTTTCTTGAATGGAGATGTGCTGGAGTAGATATTAATTTGTTATGCTCTACTACATTTACATTATGATCATTGAAGACAACCAGGTTGTTGTGTGGAAGAGTGTAGTCTTATGCATGTTACGTACAATGAGGCACGAGTCTGTATAGTAAACCCCCACATTTATAGTACAGTACTTTTAGCTTTTTATTCAGTAAAACAAATTTATGATTTTCAGCCTATTGAATGACATAAGTGTGTAAGGTTGGATATATATATATATATATATATATATATATATATATATATATATATATATATATATATATATATATATATATATATATATATATATATATATATATATATATATATATATATATATATATATATATATATATATATATATATATATATATATATATATATATATATATATATATATATATATATATATATATATATATATATATATATATATATATATACACACACACACACACAGTTAACCCTCACTTTACGCGGTTAATGTAACCCGCATGGTCCCGCGTAAAGTGAATAACATAACATATGGGATTAATTGAAATAGAGTCCGGGCCGACCCCCCAAACTCCACTTTTTGACAACACACAACTATGTTGTAGTAAAAATTTTATCTTAACTTTATGATGGTATGAAAAAACAAGTAATATAGAAGAGGTTAGGTTAGGAAAAATAAAGGTTAACATAGGAAAAATAAAGGTTAGGTTAGAAAAACTAAAAGTTATGTGGAACACTTACGTTAGTAGAAGAGATGGGTCGGCATACGGGGATGGAGGCTGGTTCCGAGGCAGAGGGCAGATTACTGGCCCTCAGGTGAATCACCATTACTAGGTGAATCACCATCACTGTCACTTACAGTTGTCAGGGCTTCCCTGACAAATCCCTCAAAGTCATCTTCACTGTCACTATCACTGGCTTGGGCTGGCTGTGGTGGGTTGCGGGCGAAGAACTCGGTTATGCTTTTTTGACGGCTGGTGTTTATGTTGTCTTGATACACCATGATGTACGGCTCCATAGCCTGCACCAGCCGGGTATGGAAGACTTCATAGCGGTCATCGTCATTGTCGCGGGAAAGGAAGGACTTCATTTTCTCTGCACACTCCATGGCACCCTTAATATCACTATGAGTTAAACTGTGTTCTTCGGAGAATGACGCACCTTCTTCCTCCTCTTCACTGGCGTGATCTTCTTCCAACATCTCGTCGGCAGTCACTTCAGGATCTCTGATCACCTCCAGGATGTCGTCGTTGGTGGTCTCGGAGAAGCCTGGAACTGTAACAGTCTGCGCAGCTTCTCTGGCAAGGTCCACTGCTACTGCAACAGTCTGAACCTCACCAGTCACAGATTGACTCCTCCTCTCACCTGGTATTCCATGCAACACATGTCTCCATGCGTGACGAATTGTAGCAATAGACAGCTGATCCCATGACTCCACCAAGAAGTCCACAGCTTTCTTGATGTTAAATACTCTCCAGAATTGTTTGAACAGTATTTTTTGCTGTGCCAACTGTTGATCCTCATCTTCTTCGCTCTTGCTATCGGTGGTGGTGTCACTCAGGTTACGCAACTCTTCCCTGGTGTTGGTGTAGTCGTTCAGGAGTTTGAATTTTTTTGTTGA